TATATATATCTTTTTATTCAACTTTTACAGAAAATCTTGCCTATTTGGTCAGTGGTTTTCCCGTTAAGACGCTGCCTTTTGTGTTACAAAATCAATTTGTTTTCATTTTACCATTGTTGTTATTATTATATCATGAATGTGTATTCAATTTGTCAGTTTTTTCAGCATCTGCGGCAATAACCATTTTTTTCTCCTTAGATCTATTCATAGGCTATTAAATCATTAAATATGAAATTTTAGCTAGACTTTAGCCGATCTTCCCCATATTTATTAATAAACAATGTAAACATTTCAAAACATCATTTACAGACTTAGTCTTTCCCTCCATCTGGAGGGAAGCACATTTAGTTCTCTTTGATATTATTTATGTAACATGTTTTAGGGATTCAGGAATATACTGAAAAAAGACTTGATTAAATTTATTTTCAGAGAATACATTTTCCATGAATTTGTTTCTTTCATTCCTTGAACTTCACATTTAACTCAAAATTTTATCTGCTCTCTCAACATTGCACTTCAATAATTAGAAATTTTCAAATACCAAATACAAATACGTAAAGAATTCTTTCCTTTATATATATTGTCACCTCAATGCACCAATGAGCCTTTCTTTGCATTATTTTTTTAATTTTATGTGTATGAATGTTTTGCCTGCATGTATGTGAGCTGGTGTTGTGCAATGCTCAAAGGGGTCAGAAGAGGGCATCAGATTCCTTGGAACTGGAGCCACAGACATTTGTTAGCTGCCATGTGGGTCTTAATTAAGACCTGGGAACTGAACCCAGGTCTTCTGCAAGAGAAGCAGTGCTCTTAAAAACCAAGCCATCTCTACAGCCCCCAAGAACATAACTTTTAAGATAGGAAATGAGGGAACATTTCTGGTGTTGACTAGGGTGAGCAAGTAGTAGTGTAAGTAGTCACTGTGAGTAGACCAACCCTAATCATCTCTCTGTTCCTCTAAATTTGTGAAAACTGAGTGAAAGATGGAGCTGTGACTGGTGATCCATGTCTACAATTTCAGTTACTCAGGAGGCTGAGGTAGGAGTTCAGGGCTAGACTATACTATGTAGAGGGTTGAAGACCTATCTGGGAAACTTCGTGAGACCCTATTCCAAAGTACAAAAATGTTAAAAAGGTCTAGAAATGTACTCAGTGGAAGAGCAGCTGCCTAGTACAAGACCTTGGGTTCAACCCTCAGGAGAGAGAAAAATATATTTTCTCCAGATTTTTCATTATTCTCTATGATTTTAGAATTTGAAATTTGAGCAGTGATACATATTCAACTGAGCAACTGAGCTACCTGTATATTAAAATCCAAGTTTGCAAATATGGTGCTACCTTACCTAATGATGTAATTTCCAAATTATACATCATTAGCCTCTGCCCCTTTTCAATCATTTTGTGCTTCTATTTTACAGGAAAATCTTTTAATATTATTTTTAAGACTTATTTTCTACATTTCAGTGTAAAGAAAGATTATAGTATAACGCAGAATATCAATTCACTATGGTTCATGCAGTTCTTCCCTTTGTTTCTTTTTGTTTTAGTTGTTATCCTTGTTCACTATTTCTCTCTCTTTTGAGCCCCAAACACTCTCTGCTTGTCAAACACGTTTTCTATCTGCTTCTTTGATCTCTAGTTCTGTGGGAAGTGGTCCATATAAGTACTTCTTGTTTCTATGACCTTCAAATTATAGTTTTCCTCTTGTGGTCAAAATGAACAGGTGATCAGCTCAAATCTTAATTTCAGTTCATAGAAATTTTTACAAGAGGAAAGCTCAATAGGAACATCAGAGAAACAGAAGTTTCATCCTCAAAAAAGTGCACTATCTAGCCCATTGTCAAAAAGCAAAAACAAAACACAACGAAGTTATCTGTCATTATCTTAATTGTTACTGGTTCATTCCTTTTCTCAAAGTCTAACCACAGCAGCATGCCTTAAATTCTTTCTGAACTAGTTCTGATCATTGTTTTGTCAATACTTTGAGGACCTTTTCTGTTCTCTTTAGGCTGAATCAATTCTTTTATTAGTTCATTGGTAGATGGTTTTTCCACATTTTTATAAGAACTTTGGGTCTGAAAGAAGCATTTATTTTACCTGCAATTTAGCCAGAAAGGAAACCATAAAAAGTAAACTAGAATAAAAATTAATTTTCAATTTATAGGGATATTAAGAGATGAAAGATAGAAAAAATTTCCTGAAATAAAATAACCACCCTTCAATCCTCGGGGCTTGTCATAATACCAAATTAAATCCATTAAAAACATTCTGTGTTGCCTGGGTGTGGTGGCATGTCTTTGATCCCAGTGCTTGGGAGGCAGAGGCAGGTAGATCTCTGTAAAATGGAGGCCAGCCTGGTCTACATAGGGAGTTCCAGGCAAGTTGAGGCTACAGGGAGACCTTGTCTCAAAGCAAGGAAACAGACAAAAAAGCAAGCCACTATAAATGGTTGCACCATGTTTTGGGGGCTGGAGAGATGGCTCAGTGGTTAAAAGCACTAGCTGCTCTTGCAGAGGACACCAGTTCTGTTCCCAGCACCCACAATGGCAGCTAATAGCTGTCTGTAACTCCAGTGCACGGGTGCACTTACATACATGCAGGTAAAACACTTATACACATACTAATAAATAAATCAAAAATATTCTTTCTTTTAGACAAATGTTTTCCTTAAAGTTAAGCAAAAGGAAAAAAAAAAACTATTCAAGGCAACAAATATCAGAATGCTTCTTTACAGTGAAAATGAGTAAAATCTCTGTGGGGTATTATTTTTGGAATTTCATAAAATTGTTGCACAGGCAGAAATCCAATGTCTGTGACACACTCACCAAGTTTCCTCACTTGTGTATTTTATTCATCTGCCTATCTATGAGGCATGACACCATTAACGACTTCATGCATTAATGCAACTGTGTACTTACAAGGTCTAGAGTGCTGATATGGAAGTGGAGAAAAAAACCCACAAAATTCTTTCCCCTGAGGGATTTCTATTCTAATGATGAGAAACCAAGAATAAGTAATTAAAATACTGTGTAATACATATAATGGAGAAGGAAAAAAGTGGAGAAGCATTGAGAGTTTTGGTTTCATTTTGTTGCAGTTCGAAGCAGATTTTCAAACAAGACTGTTAGGGAGGGTCTGATTAGCAGGGGCCCAGAATAATGAGCTGAGTGAAGTAAAGGTGTCAGCCAAGTGGATACAAGTGACTGAAGATTCCAAGCAAGTGGTTGTCAAACATCAAGGCACTCAGTTGGGAGTGTGCCTGGCTTTTTCCAGGATGGAGGAAGAACTAGACTAATTAGGATGGACCATGACCAAACTGCATTATGGCCAGAAGCAACCAGTAGTAAGAGATGATTATGGTAGAGGGTGTGGTAGAAAAATGGTTGATTTCTGCATGATTTCTGTGGTGGAAAGTATTTGCAGGATGTGCTAAAGGATTAAAAACGCAAGGAGCCTGGCGTGGTGGTTCATGCCTTTAATCCCAGCACTTGGAAGACAGAGGCAGCCTGGTTTAAATAGCGAGATCCAGGCCAGCTGGGGCTACAGGGAGACCCTGTCTCAAAAAGACAAAACAAAACAAAACAAAAAACCACCAAACAAACAAAAACCGCAACGAGAGAGCTGGAAAGATGGTTCCCAGTTATGAACACTGGCTGCTCTTCTAGAGGTCCAAAGTGCAGTTCCCAACACCCGCATAGATGTTTCACAACCACCTCTAACTTCAGCTTCAGGAGATCAAACGCCCTCTTCTGACTCCCAGCAGTGGCTGTTGGGTGAGAGCTTAATCCCACACTGATCCCTACCTCGTACCAATAGTCTAAAATGCTTCGAGTAGTTTGGATTAAGAATTTTTAGGAGCCTGAGTTTGATGAAGTCTTTCTCAAATCTTTAATAAGAAGGGCCCAAGATGAACCGAAACGACGATAGGGTAGTATTGTAGAGGACAAATGGCATACGCGCGACCTTTGGTTCAAAGTCTCTCAAACCCCAAGAAAAACTGCAGGGATTCCACAAAAGCGACGCCTTTGGAGGAGAGGAAACGGCGGGTTTTCCGTTCGCACCAAAGTTCCGGTTTCCGGAAGGACCTGATTCTAGAACGGACCAAACCGGATGGAGGTCACTGGCCCTCTTCCGCCTGCTTTGCGGTTTACCGGTTGGTAGCTTCTCAGAGTGGCGGGGGCTTCTCAGAGTGGCGGGGGCGCGCCGACCTTCAGTGTACGAGCGTCAGGTCGACTACACGGCCGGTGGGCCACGCGGGCCGTCGTCCACGCGCAGCACAATGTCGGGGAGGCACGTCTTGCGTGTCCGGGCCTTATATAGGCGTATCTTGCAGCTACACCGGGTTCTGCCCCCAGACCTCAAAGCCTTGGGCGACCAGTACGTGAAGGACGAATTTAGGAGACATAAGACCGTTGGTTCTGGCGAGGCCCAGCGTTTCTTACAGGAATGGGAGGCAAGTGATGCCCCCTTTTCTGTTGTCCCAGACCTTTGGGTTTCTCTGGGGATCCCCTATTGTCCCATTTAGAGACCGCTTATTTTAGCTGGTGTCGGTTGCTCATGCGCAACTGAGCTGCGCGTTTGAATTAAACCGCCTAAAGCTGGTCAGACACTTCACCAAGTTACTTCCCGAGCCCCTCAGTTTCTCCCACCGGATCTTGGCTGTAACGCCGTCTCCAGTTCAGTGCAGCCTTTTGAGCGCCTCGGGGGTCAGGTGCTGCTAAGGCGAGGGTGGGTTCGGGGTGTCAGGATTGACTAGAAGTCACTGATAGGGCTAGAAGAGCTCGCTGGCTTTTGTCCCATTTGCACCTAACGCATGTAATTAATATTCTATCATAACTTAGCTTGCAGAATTAAAGATATTTCTATGTTATGTTTTTAATTTCAAGGCCTTAGTAATTTTTTCGTCTGATAGATACATGAAATAACAAAAAGTCTTAAACATTACGTTCAGAGAATGGAAAAAAAATGCTGGTCAGAATTAAGACAAATGAAAGTTAATGTTACTTTAGGCTTGCAAGTCGTGGGGCCTTTTTTTTTTTTACATAATCTGTATTATTGGACTAATTCTTAAGCAACATGCACACATTAGAATTTAGTTACTTAACTTTCCCCTTTTTTCCTTTAATTACATTTTATTTTAATTACATTTTTATTGTGTGGATGGGTGTGTGCTTGAGGTCAGAGGACAACCTGCCATTATTGGTTCTCACCTTCCACCATGTGGGTCCTGGGGTTGAAACTCAGGTCCTCAGGGTTGGTGGCAGGTGCCTTTACTCACGGAGCCATCTCTGTGGCACTAATTTATTTTTTGAGTGAAGGAAAAAATGTTGATGGGAGTATTTCATGGTGCTTAGAGTCCTGCAAGGATTTCCTCCTGACTTGTAAATATTAGAAAATGAAAGGCATTGAAGATCAGAATGCTTCTCTGGTATTTTAAAGAGTGAAGCTGCCATGGCAGAACAGACTAGATCTTCGTCCTGACAGGTTAATGATGGCTGAAGAGACAGCTGAAGCTTGCCTTTACAGCTATCACAAAAGTTATGATATGGTAAGCACAATATTTTCATTGAGTCCAAGAATTCTTGATTGTAGAATCATCAAATTTTTAAGCAGATATTTAGAACAATGATGAGTTTAGGACTTTTCTAAGTCTTGGTAGATGTAATCTGGTTGCATGAGACAGTGTAATCTTTTTAACTGCGAAGCATTTTTTTTTTTTTTTCAAATAGGTAATTTGGTCTTGGAGGGAAAAAAAAAGAAAAATAAAAAACCCAAAACAAAAAAATCAAAAACCTGGATTAAAAATTAGGCTTCAGCATTTACTAAATATAAAATCACTTTTCTAATCTTATAGTCTGATCTGTAAAATGACAATATTTACAATAGTTATTTCAAAGTGCGAGTGTGTAAGCGTATTTAAAATTCACCTTGCATATTGTTAATCACAGTGAAGCTCTGAGATATTAAGGTGCTTGTAAAGTCGTATCTGTTAAGTCACTTTATGGACAGACAGGAAGAAGACTATCTGTTGAAAGAAGTCTTCTTTGAGAAATTTTAAAGTGTAAGAACTTGGACTGCTTAAGGAAAATAGGAAAGGATAGGAACTTGGGAATAAATTTAAAAAAAACTGAAGGAAGGGACAAGAGAACTGAATAAATAATTTATTGATCATCACAGAAGGCATGGTATTCTCAGTTTCACTGTTTTGTTTTAAATCTTTTGAAGTAATTTTAGACTTAAAGAATTATGAAGACTATAGGATTCACATACATCCTATACCTTGCTTCTCCTTGGTTAACATACAGCCAGGATACAGTGATAGTTTTGAAAAGTTATTTTCTGTTACTTTGAGGAATGTATTATTTTGGGTGTCCTCATGATGAGATTGATGTTAACGTGGTTGAGAAGAATATTACGAGGTGAAGTGTCCTCAACACAATCTGTAAAAGGTACATGCCAAAGTAATAGTGATGATAACTAGAGTAAAGTGGTATCTGCCAGCTGTCTTCACTCTTAAATCAATGCTATGGTTTAGATAAAGCTTATCTCCTGAAGGTTCATATGCTAAGACTAGTGTGGCATGTTGAGACTGGGTGGAACTTTTAAGAGGTGGGCCCCTAGTGTGAGCTCCTTGGGGGCATTATTGTTAGGTCAGATTGACGTAGTCTTTCAGGACTCATAAATTCCTTGAGAGCTTGTTATAAAAGCAGCAGCCTGAGCTGAGTGTGGTGATGTATGCTTGTAATCCAATCCTAACTATTCCAGAAACCAAGGCAGGAGAATTGAAAGTTTAAGGCTAGCCAATGCAATTTATCAAGACTTAATCTCAAAGTAAAATAAAAATAGGCTGGGGTGTAGGTCAGTGCTAGTATGTGACAAGTCCTGTGTTCAGTCTTCAGTTAATCACACACATTCCTGTGTAACCATGTGCTAGTATGGTCATTCTCACATGCACTCACACCATGATGCAGTTAGAAGACTTCTACCAGTGCTAAGTAGATGCACCGTGCTCTTGGAATTCCAAACTCTGGGCTAAAGAAAATTCTTTATTACTGAGGATCAAGTATTTTGTTACAGCAACAGAAAATGGACCAAGATAGTATTTTTCCTTTTGGAATTAAGAAATATTTTGGGTCAGCAACTCTGAGGCCATACAAATATCCTGCTTCTTCTCAAGTTTTGCCCAATTTAGCATTCATAGATCTATTTTGTGTACTGTGTTCCAGTAGTAATTTTCTATTTCCCTCATTCCTTCTGAATTTATTGATTGAAATGTTTCTGTAGGGAAGAGATGACCCATCTTCCCCTAGTACTTTTCGTATTGTTGGAATGAAGGGGGGGGGAAGCATGCTGTGGGGCTGGAGTCTTGTAGTTAATGAAAACAGTAGTCTAACTATTTGCGTAAAATAATACTTATAGTTACAAAGCAGCTCAATTAAACCTGTGAATTGGAAAGGTTTGAGGGATCCTACTAAGAAAGATGTGTGACCTTTCCTAGTGTGGGGCTACGGAATGACTTGTGGGGAGGGAACATGGGCAGTTTTATCAGCAGTAAGCCCTTCATCCTTCCAAGTGTCCCTTCTCGTTGTTCTTCAAAACATCTGATTCATGGGTATGTGACACAACCAGATACAGGCTGGTTTTATGTTTTACTTGATGCTTATATTTGTATCAAGCTAATTTAATGTTATTGCAGATTTTTTGCAATGCTATATGGAGTTTGGTCTCTGATATTCTCTCACATTTTTACAGTTATTTATGGACTTGAGTAGTTTTTGAGTTTTATGTGAATGGACAAAGTTGGATATGGGTTCCACTGTATGAAAGAAAAGGGGAAATGCCAAGAATGCTAGGGGCCCAGCACTAGGAAGTTTTCTCTAAATTCCCTCATTTGTGATCACAGAAAACAGGCATATCTTAGAATTCAGCTGGAGAAGTTTCTGTTCAAGGATCAATGGACAGAAGGTAGAAGGAAAGATTCACTCTAAAGGTAAAGTTATAAACACATTTTTACAGATTAAATTCTAAATTTATGTAATTTTTTATTATAAGAAAAATATACATTCAGGAAGAAATGTTGTAAATCTGTTAGGAAAATGTTTGTTTGATAACTGATCTGTAAAATGTCCTTGACAATATCCTTCTCAAGACTTTTAGGAGGCAACTGTTAGACACTGAATTAAATTAGTCTTAGAGAACAGGGTCTTACTGTATTTAAAATATTCCACTTAACCTTATTTTTGAAAAATAGCTGATTTAAGTAATGCTTTCCATTTTTCCCCTGTGTGCTTATAACTTATTTTCTAGGAACTCAGAATAAGTGTTAAGGATTAGTAGAGCAACATGTTGGTGAGAGAATATGACAGAGAAAACAGCAGTATGCTACTTGAAGAGAGCCACGTGTTTAATCTTTCTTTATCCACCCCAGTTGTTTATTTATGCAGTTACTTTCTTATCTCATTTCTCTTTTTTTTTCTAAATATTTGTCTTGCTCTGGTTTATGTTTGGAGGTGTTTATAAGTAGAAAATTCTGTTTCTATAAAAAATAAAGCAAAGTGGTTTAAACATGGTACAAATGGTGTTGATCACTGACTATTGCTGGACAATGTGGTAGACTGTGGGACATGAAAATGAATAATAACTAAATTGTATTTTCAGTGTTCCACTTAGTAAAGTAGTATAGACAGAGTATGAAAGAGTGTTTATCAGATGCTGCGGGACCAAGGAGGAATGGAGGAAGTTGAAGTCCATGTAGAATGACTGGGCTGAGGTTTGAGGAAGTGGAAATTACCATGTGGGAAAACAAAACAAAACAAAAAGGCTTTCTAGAAGGGAATAAAGCAGAGAGAGACATGAGGTAAGAAACTGACTTTTTGTAGGAACTATATTGTTGTGTTCAGAATTCAGTGTCTTTTGGGAAAGGCTGGGAGGAGCAAAGCCAAGGTGGCAAGAGAAGGTGTTCTACTAAAGATTTGAAGTTTTAATTTTCAGTTGCTAAGAGATTTTAGACAGTAGAGGAAATTATACAAATCACACCCCAAAAGACCACCTTAGCAGCAATGGAAAGGAATGAAAAAAGAGCAAGCTGAAACTAGCAATGACTATTTGGAAACTGGGATAGACTCTCACTTATATGTATGCCTGAATCAAGTCGAAGACAGAGAGCGTGGAGAATATCGATTTACGAGCTATGTTTTGTAAAGTAGAATGGGGCTTGACTTAGTGACTGACATAGGATTAGTAAGGAAATCAGAAACAGAGTGAATAACCAATAACCAAAAAAGGTATGCAGGAGGAGTAGGTAGGCAGGAGGACCCGGTAGGAAACAAGTTCAGCTTGGTATATTTTGTGTTAAAAATTCCATGAGAGTAGTTAAGTAGAGCTGTTGTGAGGTATGTATTGGCCTGATACTCAGGAGACAGATTATGGCTAGAGATAGAGATTTGGAATTCATTACCTCTAGTTGATAGTTTAAAGGGGTGGATACAAGTACCCACACAGGAGAACACTAGCATTTAGGGGAAAGTAGTCAAAGGTAGAACACTCTTCTTTCGGAATCAAGAGAATGAAGGTTGTAGTGTTGTGCTGGAACTGTTCTTGTCCTTTTAAATATGGTATTCAGTTGTTTTTGCAAAAGAACATGCTTTTAGTGTTTTTGATTGTATGCATTTTTTTTTAGATTTGTGTGATAGCTTAGATATCATAATATGACTTTTTTTTGTTTGCTGTATTTGTTTTGGAGAAAAATGCCTCAGAGTTCATACATCCTTTGTAACTCACATGGGATATCATTTTCTTATTTATGACTTTGAAGTGGATCATCAGATAAAATATATGGTTAAGTTGCATGTCATGTATTTAAAGTTTATAATTAGAGTTGGATGGACATTTCACTATTTTTTGTAATTATATGCTCTCTTACCTAATTTGAGGACCTCAGTTTGTTGCTTTTGAATATTTTGATTTGCAGTTTGTGTTTTAGCTTGTGGGAGAAAATGAATGAATTACTATTCTGTTTAGTACATGGGTTGTATGTGTGTGGGATTTTTTTTCCAGGACACTTGGGTACCTCTCACTTGTAATGTTTATTCTGCATGTTGCTTATTGTAGCTTTTTTGTGTGATGGCTTATTGACTGGCAATGGTTTATAGAGTATTGACATGTCATACATATATTTTGGACACAATTTCTATCTTTTAAAAAGTTTTAGGCATATCATGGCCCTTAACTGATCAAAGAGAAATAATGGAATGGTGCATCCTTGCTATATAGAATTAACTTGTGTATTAACTTGTTTTCAATATCCGAGGCTGGATCTCTTTTTAAAGAAAAGAGGTTTATTTAGGTTACTGTTCCAGAGCTTAAGGGAATGTTCCTGGCATTGGCATGCTCTCATAGGGTGTCATGGTGAATGAAATTGCAGGAGTGGAAGCATGTTGGCCGGGGGGTCACATTGAGACAATGACTGATAGAAAGGGGATCACACAGGAAAAGGAAGCTCATTATTAATTTTGTACTTTAAAAAATAGTCTTTTTTTAAAAAGTTGT